CCCCACCACCGGCCACCCCACCTCCCGCCACCCCTCCTTCAGCAACCCCACCATCATCCCCACCGAGCCAACCACCAGCCACACCTCCTACATCTCCAGCACCGACCTCCTCTCCAACTGCGCCACCAAAGGAGGGTCCAGCCTCATCTCCATCTCCATCCACCGCGTCTCCACCATCACCACCAACGGAAGGAAACGTCCCCTCCGGCGCGCCTGGACCCAACGCTCCCCCACCCCCAGAAGATAATGGCGCAGTCTCCATTAGCCGGGTGGCGATGGTTGGCAGTGCTGTGAGCGGAGTTTTGTTGGCAATGGTGTTCGCTTAGAGACAGATTTGTTAAGGGAATCAGGATTGTGGTAGCTGGAATGGATCAGATCCATTTTGGTGTTTGTTTAATATTTCTGTAGCGCTTTTTTATTATTTGTAACATCTTTCCTTTTGTGCATGTTTGTGCGTTGGAGTTTTATTATTATTGTTTCTTTTGGTCATTCATTATTTATAAATGTTTGGGACACAATTATTGTCGTGTACATCGGATTATGAATAAAATTACATTTCTGGAGTATAAGCTTTCATGGCTTTATTTTAGACTTGTCTAAAAGCTTCATATCGATAAAGATAGTATTATTTAATTATAAATTCATGATCATTTCCTAAATTAACCGATGTCAGACTTTCATTATCCAACAGAGTCTTAACGGTCTTACGTTTTGTTTTTACACGAAAGTTATACAACTTGTTCTTGAATATGATTTATTTAGCTCGACGCTTTGCAACTTGTTCTTGAAGGTGAAGTATTTTAATGTTTGTTTGTAAGTGAAGAACAAGAACAGCACTTGTGTTGCTTGTAGAACATTCGATGGGCATATGGGTTGGACTTGAATAGTTTTTGGGCTGAATCATTGGACCTTAGCCCTTTGAGCTTCGACTTTTTGGGTCGTAGTTAGTCATTTGAATTCATATTCTCTAACTCAAACTTGAGGGGTGGGCAGTGGGCTTCACCTTCTCTACCTTGTTTTAAAACTATTCAATTGCTTGGTTCGAACCGACATCGATCTCGAGTTTCTTATTTATCACTTTGTCGAGTTGTCTCTTAATCTGCCTCGTTTCGATATGATGTATTGAATTAGTAGATGAGTAGTAATATTTGCGACAAAGTAAAAATTTTCCGATTTAACAAAACATAAATATGCATAAATGATGTTTACAACTTGGATGGTAAACCAATATTTGTTTTTCAAAAGAAAGTATAATACCCACAAATATTAAAATAAACAACAAAATCTGAAGAGTCGTGACAAAAAGGAAAAGTCAATTATTTGAAAATCTGAGCATTTTTGCAAATAGGGAAAATGACTTTTTTTAAAAAATAAAATAAAAAAATTATTGACCAAACATTATTTTCCACGTATCTTTGTTTTTAATGGGAAAACAAAATTGGTTTTGTGTTCCATATGTTAAATAATTTTGGAGACTTAAATGGCGCACAGTGGTGTGTGGCTCCAATAAACAAAGGAGTCAACAAAGTTATTTGTTATTTGTTATAAATATTATTTCAATTATTTGACCCTTGCCAATCACGTCTATAGATAAATATTAGGTATTTATTTATTTATTTTTATAGATATTTATAAGTATTTTATTTTAAATGGGAGAGAAATCTATTAGAATATTAGATGAAAAATCAATCAATTTAAACGTAACCTTAAAGGACATGGTGGTGCCTTATGCTCACTTAACACCTAGTTTGACAAACGACATTGATAAGGAATCACTGTAAGGAGAGTAAGATTTGAATTATCTTGTTGATCAAATATCTCAAGGTAAGAACATTTGTTTGAGACTCGAATCACTCTACAAACAAAATTAATTATGTCGAGCTTAAATTATTCTACATGCAATCTATACTATAGAAAATTGCAAAGAAACTTAGTCAGTGACCAAAGGAAAGCACAAATACTTATTTTACTACACTTATCAAGTCTATATTAGAAAGATAACATACATGACTTTATATAGTTTCAAAATAAAATCTCTTAACCTTCTATAAGGCTTTCCAAGAGTTATAATTTTCATATTTTATCTCGTAATTAACCACTTTATATACTTCATGGTCATAATTAGTTACTATGTAAATAAGTCTTAAAATACATAAAAAAAAACGCAATAACTCTAGATTATCATCATCATAAATATGTAACCATCTAAGAATAAATGAATCCTACTTAAAGTATCTTGAAACTTTTGTTACATAAATGAAGATTGATTATTGTTAATGTAATATTAATATTGCATGATTGAGATGATTTAGTTCATACGACACAACTTTAACTTAAGAAATCAAGAAGTCTACCTATTTGTCGGTTGGAATGGGTTTGCGGTCCAAGCTACTTTATCAATTAAATTATATTTAGATTGATTTTTAATTGATGAATACAGTTAACTGTTTATGTTTTGAAAAATATAAAATCACGAATAACACGAGTACAAATTTGAAGTTACGACCCCACTTTATTATTAAACTAGGTTTTATTGTTATTTACAATTAATTTTATACTTTTCTATTTGAAATTTTAAATATTCTCTTTGCCCATTGCATTAAAAGAATATTAGTTAATTAATTATCACTTACATTTCAGTTTTTCAATCTAGGTCACATAATTTATTTAAATTTCAAATATTATTTTTTAGCGTAGAAATAAAAGATAAATGATGAATTCACATCCACACAAAATGTGTTAAATAAGAAGAAGAAAAAAAAACTGTCAACATTAATTATTTTGTAATAAGCCATAGGAATTAAATTGTTAGTTTTTTAAACCACAGAAAAATAATAAATTCCATTATAGTAAAAGGCACTAAAATGATAATTTAACAAAAAATCATTGTTCATTGTTAACCTTTTTAAATGTAAATTATAATTAAAAAAAATTGATGCCTTTATAAAAGTAGTTTAAAGATGCTATCTAAAGAAGGAAAGTATGTGGCCTCTAAAATTTTGTTAAATAAAGACCATATTTGTTTTTTTATGCAAAATTTGGAGAATAAAGCAAAGTATGAGGTACAAGAAAAAAAAAACTTTAATTATTTGTGGTCCTTCAAGTTGAAAAATGGCATGTATTTAATCTTAATATTTGGAAAAAAGTAGATCAACTTTCTACTTTATCTAGAGTATCCAATAATACTTTCAAACGTTTAAAGAAAATACTCCTAAAAAATACACTCGAGTTTTCAAAAGTTTTATTAATATCTTAACCTATTTTAAAAAAACTTAAAAAAAAAGGATGGTAAATATTTTTTTGTTATTTACTTTTTCATCTAATATATTAATGATATTGTTAAAAACTTAAAAAGAAATAATCTATGAAGCGTAGATGAACGGTTTTCGTCATTATATTGACGATAAATACTTTTTTTTTATAAAGGTTAATGATGTTAATGATACTTTTAAAATTTTATGAATATTTTAAAATATGGTAATTTAGTAAGAGCATGGTTAGAAACACAGTTAAATGATATTTTTTAAACTAAATATAGTTATTTATTATTATTTTTTTTAAAAGTGGAGGGATATTATTAGAAAGTTTTAAAGTTTAAAAATAAGTTTTAAAACAAAATATGTATTTTTATTAATTTAGGTTAAATAATATTAAAATAAAAAATATATTAATTTAATGGAGAAAGGAAGAGAAAGAGAAACAAAAGTTGAGGACTAGAGGTTCCGATAATATTTGGGAGTGTATGGAACGCCGAGAATACACGCAGCCTCTTCAGCCGTCAGTGAGCCGTCACGGTTGCGGCGTCACCATTCACGGGCTCGTTAATCTAACATACCCACCGCCTCTTTCTGCTCTTTATTTATTCATTCATTCTCCTTCCCATTTCTCTCGCTCATTGTCCAAGGGATCAGCGGCTGCTTCGAAAAATGTCCGCACATCCCGCAGCACAGGAACCCAACGTACCCCTTCTGCAATCCAAGTCTCTAATTCAGGAAGAAGATGACGCGCCCCTTTCAACCAGGATTCGGGTCGAGTCCAGAAAGCTCTGGCACATCGTCGGTCCGGCAGTCTTCAGCCGTGTCGCCTCCTACTCCATGCTGGTCATAACCCAAGCCTTCGCTGGCCATTTGGGCGACCTCGAACTCGCTGCAATGTCCATCGCTAATAATGTCATCGTCGGATTTGATTTTGGTCTCTTGGTAATTTCGTCGAACACCTTCCCTGCATTCCAACACAACCCCTATGGAAAGTTCTTATTTAATTTAATTTTTTTTTTTTTTTTGTTTCAGTTGGGGATGGCTAGCGCTTTAGAGACGCTGTGTGGGCAAGCTTATGGGGCGAAGAAATTCCACATGTTGGGGATTTACATGCAGCGGTCTTGGATAGTTCTATTCATTTGTTGTATTTTTCTTTTGCCGATTTATCTATTCGCAACCCCTGCGTTGAAGCTTCTGGGTCAGCCGGCGGATTTGGCAGAGCTTGCAGGGAAAGTGGCGGTGCTGTTGGTGCCTCTGCACTTCAGCTTTGCGTTTCAGTTTCCATTACAGAGGTTCTTACAGAGCCAGCTGAAGACGGCAGTGATTGCTTATGTTTCGTTGGTGGCGCTGTTGGTGCACATTTTGGTGAGCTGGTGGTTTGTTTCTGGGCTTAAGCTTGGGCTATTTGGAACCGCCATTACCATGAACATTTCGTGGTGGGTTTTGGTGTTTGGGCTTCTAATTTACACAGTCTCCGGCGGCTGTCCTCACACCTGGACTGGCTTCTCCATTGAAACTTTCTCTGGGCTTTGGGATTTCGTCAAGTTGTCTGCAGCCTCTGGCCTCATGCTCTGGTTTTTACTCATTTTTTCTTCCTATTCATTCATTGATACCCATTAATGACATATTTTGATATCGAGTTTGGTTTGAGTTATGGAAATGAAATGTTCTTGTTATGCAGTTTGGAGAATTGGTACTACAGAATACTGATAGTGATGACTGGGAATCTGGATAATGCTAAAATTGCGGTGGATGCCCTTTCTGTGTGGTATGAAATCAATTCTCTTTTATTAAAAAAATTCCATGTTCTCTGTCGGAAGATATAAATTTTTTAATTTTTTTAAAAAGAGCCTCCATTTTTGGTTGATTTACATTCTCTATTGTTAATACTAAATTAATGGCTGGAGATATAGTGTGGAGCATATCATTTTGGGATCATATTTTTGGGATTTTATGAGTGGCCATCATCTTTTTAGTTCTTCGTTTATTTTTATTTTTCAATAATGCATTTACCTAATAAATAAATTATTGGTGTTTTGTTTATTTGCGTTTATAAGCATAATTTTTTTTTTTTTTTTTGTTAAT